TACAAAATCATCAGCAAAATAATCTCTAATCGCCTACGAGTTGTGCTTGCTGATTTATTGACACTAGGCAGGCTGCTTTTTTAAAAGGTAGGCTTATTACTGATAATATTCTCATGGAAAACGAACTTATGTCTCTTTGCCATAAGAACTCAGATCGTCCTAAAATGTGTCTGCAAATCGATTTGAGCAGTGCCTATGACAGAGTTTCCTGGGATTTTATAGTGGGTAGGATGCATGCTTTGGGTTTTACTGAGCTATTTATTTCCTGGGTTCACTTATGCATTTCCACTACTTCTTTCTCTGATCTCAGGAATGGCTCACCCAAAGGTTTTTTTAAAGGTAAGAGAGGTTTGAGGCAAGGGGATCCTCTATCTCCTTATCTTTTTTTGCTGGTCATGGATCTTTTTAGCCATCAGCTTGATTGTGCTTTTTTGCAAGGCATGGTTCACAAGGTGTGACTATGGGGTTTCGCATCTCTTTTATATTGATGATGTGCTTATTTTCTGTGAGGCTTCCATCTCTATTGCCACAGCTATGCACGTACTTATTCATAAGTTTGAAAGGAGTATTGGTCAAATTTTGAACTCTTCTAAAAGCAAGGTCTTTGTCTTTGGGGCACTACGAGGAGGACGGGGGAGAATTCTGAGGGAGTTAAAGTTTGTTGAAGGGTTTCTTCCGGTCTGCTATTTGGGCCTACCATCATTTCGTGGACATTTGAAGCATAGTTATTGCCATAATCTGGTGGGTAAGGTGTTTGGTAAGATCGAATCTTGGCAACCTTTATGCCTCTCATATGTCGGTCGACTTCAGCTGCTTAAGTCTGTTCTAGGGGCTTCATCAGTTTTCTGGCATTTATCCTTCATTCTTCCAAAGAAAACATGTAATATGACAGAGAGACTACAGAGAAATTTCTTATGGGTCGGTGAAGCAGAAAAAAGAGGTGTTCATCTGATTAAATGGAAAACAGTGTGGCTCCCTAGGGCTGAAGGAGGTCTTGGGTAAGGGACATGGCGGATTTCAATATCGCAGGTATGATGAAGTTAGCATGGAGGATTTTGGAAAATCCATCTGCGTTGTTGGCACGATTCTTCAAACATCGATATTTTAGAAATTCCTCTATTTGGGAGGCTGAAGGCAGAAGAGGATGTTCTCATGCATGGAAGGGGATTTTACTTGGCTTATTTCATTTGAGAGGCAAATTGTTGTGGAATATCGGTAATGATCAGTTGGTGGATTTCTGGATGGACCCATGGTTAACAGGTCAGCCTCTTATCCACGAAGCTGACATTCAAGAAGCTTTGAGGGCTACAGTAGGAAGGAGGGTTTCAGCTTTTATCAGTGGAGCTCCTCAAGGGTGGGTTCTACCACATCCCACATCTGATTCTTTGAGGAATATATGGACAGAGGTTGAGAATTATAGTCTCCTTCTACAGCTCAAGAAGGACTTACTGGTTTGGATTCATTCTGCTGATGGATCTTTTTCTATTAAAAGGGCATGGGATTTTATTAGGAATTAAGGTTCTTCACAGCCTATTTTCCGTACACTTTGGTCCTCCAAATGCCACCCAAAGGTAAAGTGGTTCTCATGGCTGGCCTTGCATAATCGATTACCCACTTCATTCTTACTACAGTAGCAAGGCATGAAATTGGACTCTTTATATCCCTTTTGTAGTAACCATGATGACAATCTTTTTCATTTGTTATTTCAATGTACCTTTGCACAGGATGTATGGAGATCTGGAAAAAGGTTTGTCCTTGGTACCTCTGTTCCTGATCTACTCAGGTGGTGGTTACTCTTCAGATTTAAATCACATGGACTTCGTAATGTTTGGTCTTTCATCTTTTTTACTGCTATTTGGTTTCTATGGGAAGAGCGCAACATAAGAGTTTTTGAGTTAAGACCCACCAAGAGAGAGCTTATTGTTAAAAGGATTACCATGCATGTTCAAGCACTAGCAGAAGTTAAGAAATAGTCTTTTCATTTATCAGAAAAGGCAATCATTGGTAACCTCCGGATAACTTGGCAGCAGCAGAGAGCTGCAACCTTTACCTCGGTAGCGTGGTCTTTTCCTGAGACTCACAATTACAAATTGAATATTGATGGTGCTTCCTTGAGAAATCCAAGCTTAGCAGGTGGTGGTGGAGTTATCAAGAACAGTGCGGGTGGTTTTATTGTTGCTTTTGCAAAGCACTTTGGCCTTGCTTCCAATAACCATGCAGAATTCTTGGCTGTTGAGGAAGGAGTTCAATTGGTCATTCAAAGTAATTGCTTTCCAATTCAGATTGAAAGTGACTCGGCTTTGCTTGTGAATGTCATTCAAAATCGATGCAATGCTCCATGGAGACTAAAGACGATTGTTGACAATTGTTGCACCAGACTGTCTTCTCATCGATGGTCCATCACACATGGTTTTTGTGAGGCTAACATGGTTGTTGATGCCCTTGCTAAGAGGGCAGCTGCTGGCCTCGATGCCACTGTGTGGCGCTCCATAGACCACCAGATTTTCCTTCTTCTCTTTTATTACATGATCTGATGCAAGTGCCCTTTCATAGGGTTGTACGTTAATTGTTTTCCTCTAGTTTTTTGTTTATGAAAAACGGGTAGACGGCTTTCTCCCCCACTGACTTACCCAAAAAAAATGTTCAACACCCAAGCTCAATATGTCTCCTTTTCTAATTTCTATGATGAGCATGGAGCTTTTATGGTAGAGGCACTGAAAGAAACAGAATCAATATCATAGGAAGAAGCATTTCATGATCAGCGATGGAGAAAAGCCATGGAGGAGGAAATTGAAGCTCTACACATAAATGAAACATGGGAGCTAGTTCCATTACCTCAAAATAAGTATGTTGTGGGCTCCAAATGGGTTTACAAAGTCAAACTTAAACAAGATGGAAATGTTCAAAGATTCAAAGTATGCCTTGTGTCAAATGATACAATCAAGAAAAAGGACTAGAGTATGCCTTGTGTCAAATGATACAATCAAGAAAATGATTCAGTCCTGCGGTCAGAGCTGCAACTATATGGGCTATTGCTGCTTTGGCGGTCTTAAATGGATGGGAGCTCAACCAATTGGATGTCAAAAATGTATTTCTCCAAGGAACATTATAGGAAGAAGTCTACATGACACAAGCTCATGGCGTTGTCATTGACAAATTCCCTCACCATGTATTCTGACTTAGAAAATCCATACATGGGCTAGAACAAGTTCCAAAGGCCTGGTCTAACAGATTCTTACAAGTTATCAAAATGGAGGGGTTCACTCAAAGTTATGCAGATAACTCCCTTTTCATCAACAAAGGAAGCCCAGGTCCAACCCCCATACTCTTATATATAGATGACATGATTCTTATTGGAGCAAACAAGTTGGACATAGCAAATCTAAAAGCAAAGTTGCACTCTTCTTTTGTGATGAAGAATCTTGGAAAATTAAAATTCTTCCTTGGCATAGAAGAATATAGATTCTTAGGAGGTTTAGTTCTATCTCAGCATCGATATGATATGGAGTTGCTTGAAAAGTTTGGCATGTTGGATTGCAAACCAAGAGGAACCCCAGCTCAAGTGAATCTAAAACTCCTAGCCAATGTGGGGGAGTTACTTCCAGAAATGCTACACAATATAGAATTCTAGTAAGTGAGCTTCAATACATGACCTTCACAAGACCAGACATTGCATATGCAGTAAATACAATGTGCCAACATATGACCACACCTTGACGCAGCAAAAAGAATATTGAGAATTTGAGATATGTTTAAGGGACACTAAACTCTGGTCTTCTATGTCTTACAAGGTGGATTAGAACTAAGAGCCTCCTCTGATGCCGACTGCGCAAGTTGTTCTAATGCTAGAAGATCATATGCAGGTTTTTGTATATTCTTGGGAAGAAATTTTGCTTCATGGAGTAACAAAAAGCAAAACACTATGGCCAATTCATGCACTGAAGCAGAGTACGTATCTATGTCTCTTTCAGCCTCAGAAGTTACATGGTTATCCAAATTATTCTTAAAAATGGGAATTCACTTGGAAAACCAACAAAGTTATATTGTGATAACTAAAGTGCAAGCAAGATATCCCACAACCCAGTACAACATGGGAAGGCTAAACATCTAGGAGTTGATCATCACTACATAAGAGATATGGTTTGCGATAATGAAATCACTGTAAAGTATATACACACATGTAATCAAGTTGACATATGACCAAGGCTCTTACTAGGAGAAATTCTCTCATGATACAGACAAGCTTTCCATGCTGCCATGTCAGCTTGAGGGGGAGTGTTAGGACATGCTTAATATTAATTAATGTAAATACGTATAAAACAAATTTTTGGTATTGTATCATTAGTTTAAGGGCATTATTGTCCATCCCTATGGGAACATATATGTATCAAAAAGAGTACCAACGAATGTAAAGAGTTTCTCATTATTGTCCATCCCTATGGGAACATACATGTATCAAAAGAGTACCAATGAACGTAACAAACTTTCCTTTCTTCCTACTCAAAACCTAGATACATTTAAATATGGGATTGTCTACAAAGAGAACATTTATTTTTGTACAAGGAAGTAACAATCATTCTTGTCCTTTAAATTTCAAAATGGGTACCTTAAATTTCAAAATGGGTGGATGTAATAGTGTCATTGAATAGACACAAAGTTCTAAAAAAAAAATTCTCAAACTTCGTGACTCACCCCAAGCCATCCAAATTGACATCTAATGAGTGGGAATAGTTGTGACCTCCTTGTAAAAAAGATAAATGGTCTCTTTGTAGACAATCTCATTAAATATATACAACCTTTGCTTAAAATATAGTTGCAATATAATGAGATTCTCTTTGTAGACAATCTCATTAAATATGTACAAACGATAGAGACTGGCTTTGAAGACAACCAAATAAGTATTAATTATTTTCTGAATCTTCAAATGTGTTGGTACCATTCCTATATGTAATCCTGTGCAAAAATATAAAAATGTAAGCATCCCATTAGTAATCACTTACCCCCCTTTCAGAAGCGGCCATGATAAGGTTCGGCCACAGCTCATTTTCCATCAAAATGACAGCAATGGGATTCCAGTGCATGAGAAACGTATCTACTGCAACAGGAGCGTCAATAGGAGCAAACTGCAACACATTAAACTCCACAACTTACAAAAGTCGAGATAACTAATTAAAGTAATGAAATGTTGCAACAAAAATTCACTTCGAAGATTATCAAAGATGCACTTGCTCCATGCTTTTTAAATTGACATTGTAAACTATCAATATGATATAAATGGGTATAAAATATGAAAACATATAACAACCTCCAGTAACTTGATGACTGATCTATGGGATTACCTAACCATACATAGCAATGCAAACAGTAGTGGAGAAGAAGAAAGAGATTCACATAAATGAATAACTTGGAAGTTAACAGACGCAAAATGACACGCCCCTAATGTAAAGAATTAGTGTTCGAAAGCTACGACTCCATTTCACCACAGATTACAGATTTGGGTTCCCACCAAGTACCAAATGGACAGTTCAAACACAGTTTTGACGGCAACTCTACTGTACAGGATTTAACAAAGTAGTTCAAGACACATCCAGACAAAGTATTCAACAGGTGCAGTTGAGCCCTTGGGTTTCCTGGACGTTATCTTCATTTAGACTATGATTCAACCTTTAAAATTTTGTTGCTAGAAGTTTGTATGGCCACTGGAGTGTAGGATACCTATAGAATAGAAGAGTTCTAAGTATCTTACAGACTGGAAGACTTAGGTGCAGTTTTACCTAGACACTCCATTCCCCCTTTTGTGTCGCATGTCGAGACTTACACATGTCGACACGCCTAGACAAGTGCTCGACATGCTAACTATGTATGTGTTGTCTGTTCATAGGAAATCACTGCACTTTGAAAGTTTTGTAAAACATGGCACCCAAGTCCATGTCCATGCACTGCTTAAGTGTATCTTAAAGAAAAACACGATATATCTTTAGTGAAGTGCAGAAAAACAAAATAGCAAATGCCCCATTGAGAGAAAATACATTTTTACATTGCATCCTCCAAATCCGTCCCCTATTCCTATCAAAATATTTAGAGCATGTTGTAGGGCAAATTCAACTTCCTAAATTTGGCTTATGACAATAATGCCATAATCGGCTTCAAGAGTCCCTTTCCATACCTCACATTTTTGTTCGACAAGATAACACTATGATATATAGATTGCTTCTATTTCCTAGTTCAACATGACCAGGATTTTATTCTAGAGACAAAGTTGCCTGCAAATATCATACAATTTCTACTTTGGGTGTATTTCGTATGCACAGCTCACCACATGCCGATGTATTGCCCCCCCCCCCCTCACCCCCCGCCTCTCTCCCACAAAAAAGAAAAGAAAAAAAAAGGAAAAGAAAGAAAATAAAAAGAACTTGCCCGCTCATCTGTATGTCTATAAATCCATTTCCACCTCAAGAAGATCAATTTGAAGCTCTTAAGATGCTCCAACTCTGATTGATGTCGCCAACAGCAAATGGTGGTCCAAATCAAGTTTTGAGATGACAATCAAGGAGCATTTTTTAGGCACCAAATCCAATTCTTCATATCCATGATCATGGTAGGCAAGAGAATAGATTTGCAGATTTTTAGTCTTCACTCAACCAAAATGTTAGAGAAATAATGAGGAGCCAACTGGTTTTTTGGTAAGACGGAGGCCAGGTCAAAACATTTTCCTTTCTATTTTTCTAGAACGTAACATATACATGAGAAATAATATGGAGAGAGAGAGTGAGTATAAAACAGAAACTAATAGATATTTGGACATGGTTACAACTATAATCTCTTCCCCCCCCCCCACCCCCAAAAACACACACAATCACACAGCTGATGCTTTTAAAGATGTTGAAAGATTATCGTGCATTCCATCTTATATGACTGGAAATGTAACTTAAACCAAGCACTACAATATGACAACACAAACATTACAGGAATCATAGCAAAAGAGTCTATGCCTTTTGTAAAGAATGTTATTTAACTTCTCAAATGTTATTTAACTTCTCAACTGCAAGAAGTGGCCAAGAATTAGAGGCAACAGACACCTCATAAATAAATAATAAATAAAAGTTGCATTCAAATGCTCAACTGGTAGAGCTTCGCTACCTGGTAACATGTGAATCTCCTAAAGAAATATCCAACAATTTTCAAGAAAGTCTTCCCAAAGACAATAATCATGAAATAAAATCAAGTCAAATAATCAATAAACAAACATACATACCTGGTAAATAACACTACTTGGAAGCCTGTCCTTGATAACATAACTGCCAAAAAGAAAATCAGGTCCAACTAATACACTACCTCAAATGTAACAAACTTTCGACACTATAGTTATCTCAAAGGCATTTATTTGAGAAATTTTAAATATCATGTTGTTAAAATGCTAATATAGCATGTGCCTATAACAGGATGCATATGTACACTCAACACTATAAATACCCCTTTAAATCTCTACATTTTAATACACCCATTCTCGCACTAGAATGACACGCCACTTTCTCTTTCTTTCTCTAACCCCTCTAGTGTGGCACGCCATAGGCAATCTCCTCTCCCTTTCTCTCTTCCAAAGTGTGTGAAGGTGATGTAAGAGAAATCTTCATAGAAGCTCCATGAAGGTTCCATTAATGGTGATTCCAAGCTCAAAATTCAAGCCAAGGATGATCTAGGCTTTGTTGGATTTTGTGGCCTTTAAAAGCCTAGAGAGCTTGTAAAAATGGAATTTTATAGTGGAATATGCACTTCAGTAGGAGTGTGTGTGTTGACTGACCAAGGATCGAGCGGTTTGTGGCCCTAGTTATGTTCAAGATCCTTACCCTTGGGCATGTGGCTCTATCGAAACGGGTTTACAGTAGGTCATCCCTAGTTGCGGTCAGAGAGATACCTAGAGATGATGTTTGTAAGCCAAGAAAACTGTATAGTCTCCTGTGTGTGGTTGTAGATATGTAAGAGCAAGAGCCAAAACCTTAACAAACTTCAGCATGGCATGAACACATGACAGCTACATTACTGGGAAGCACCCCTATAAAGGGATGCATGTACATTGCATAGAAAGAGTCGCCTTTGCATTATAATGACAAGTGTTGGACTTGCTCCTAAAGAGGAGAACTGAAATCCACATTCTATGATCATAGTTCTAGTGTTTATTGTCCAACTTTGACAAGCAAATCATGAGCCCTTGCATCGAGACTGTAGGTCATGAGTCTTTGTTGGTTCCATTGTTTATTGCATTTTACGATATTTAAAATCTGCTCCAAGGAGAGAGCTACTTTATACCAATCATGGTCATATTGATGTACAAGATTTCAGCAATGGGGATTGGGCCGAGTGTTCTCTTGATCGACGATCCAGCAGTGGCTACTTTATGACAGTGGGTAGTAATTTAGTCACTTGGAAGAGTAAGAAGCAAAGTGTTGTAGCTCGATCTTCAGCGAAAGTTGAGCATCGAGCAATGGCAAGTGCTACATGTGAAATAATTTGGCTACATAATCTTCTTCAAGAGATGGGTGTTAATGTATCCACTCTTATTTCTCTATATTGTGATAATCAAGCAATAATTTATATTGCCTCGAATCCAGTATTTTATGAAAGAACCAAGCATATTGAGGTCGACTGCCACTTTGTCAAAGAAAAAGGCTGCTATAAAGACAATATGTACTCCATTTGTTCGCTCTAAGAATCAATTGGCAAACATACTTACCAGGGCCTCTAATTGAATTCAACTAAAGGATCCTATGGGCATCTATGGTATATATGCTCCACCTTAAGGGGCAGTGTAGCAACTACTATGGGCTGGGCTCGTGCCCATTAAAACATATGTAACAGCTGTAGCTCCTATACATAATGGGCCTCATGAAATGGTTGTTATACTGTTATAGGCTCTGCCCATCAAAACCTACAGCTCTTATGAATAATGGACCTCATGCCCATTAGAACCTGTGTAATAGTTATTGTAACTCTTAAGCTATGTTTGGTTTGCGCGTAAATATTTCCCGGTAAATATTTACATATGTAAATTGTGTTTCACACGTTTGGTTCGTTCCAAATGCATATGTAAATATTTTACCATGGTAAAATATTTTACCATGAAACGGCCAAAACATGGTAAAATGAAACCACACCTCTTAAGGTGTGGAAGTACTCCCCGAGGAATTTTTGCAAACCGAAGCTGAACTATTTATGAAATCAAATTTATATTTTATTTATAATATACAAAATACATATTTATATTATATTATATACTATAATATTATATATATTATTCACATTATTTATAAATATATAAATATCATATATTATATTATAATAAATATTATATTATGTATTATATTTAATATAAGTATACATTAATAAAATAAATATAATGTATGTTATATTATATATTATAATGTAATATATAAAATTATATATATATATATAATCTATATATTAATATTATATTTATATAATAAATAATATTATATATAATACCTATGTATTCATATTATATTACATATTATATATAATACTGATATTATATAAATATTATAAAAATTATATGTTATATTTATATTATATTATAAATTATATAAATGTTATATCATATATAATATATAATATAATATGAATATATAAATATTATATATATTGTATAATTTTATAATATTTAATATAATATAACTATTATAATATAATATAATATGAATATATAGGTATTATATATAGGATGCAGTTTGTATAGAGCCGCGGCTCTAAACAATCAAATTAGAGCCCACCTTCAAATAGTTGCAAGAGAAGTGGTTTCAA